ATGAATATAAAAAGCTATTATAATAACATTTACTGATAAGAAAATAGCATTTCTAGCTTCCATTAATTTAAAATTGAATTTTAAGATAATAAAAAGTGTTTGTCCAAACTAGCCTACTTTGTAAATGTTTTTAAATTATTTTATAATGACAGACGATTTATAATAGTCTATTTAGGTTATTTATTTATTTATATTTCCACCTTTAGGAAAGAAATAAATAAAGAAATAAAGAAATAAATAAAGAAAGAAAGAAAGAAAGAAAGAAAGAAAGAAAGTGCAGGCTGCATGGTAAATTCCAATTAATTCCGATTAATTTACAATACAGGAAAGATAATTCCCACTAATAGCTTGAAAACACAATTATATTTCCATAACCTGTGTCTTTAATTGGCGCTAACGCGAAGGTCTGCTCAGCCATTTAAAAAACATTATATGCAGATTGTAATTCCAAAACTAATCCTCTAATAACGAAAACCTGTTATTCCAAGTTACTCTTGAGCTACAGCGAGGTGAAATTTCCGCGCCAAAACAAGCTATAAATTCCTGCCGGTAAGCTCGTGCTGTAAATAGCTGACAGAGAGGTGTGAAAATGAACGTTTGCCCAATGTTGTGATTTACGGTTCTAATGATTACAGGGCATGACTCAATTGATGCTAGTATGTCATTAGGCGGAGTTCCACCAGAAACGGCCAAAGGCTTCAACTTCGTGCCACGGGCGCTTTGCAGTGTTGACAAGTACAACCTAAATGAACGTCATAAAAGTCAAAAAGGTGCCAATTACATCTACTAAGTGGCCCGTCATTGCGAAATAAATAAACAAATATTACTGCTATAGCTACCTGTGTAGCGCGCGTGTGTGAGGACCCCCATAGTAGAGGTGTGAAATGAAACGGCTGTTTATGAAATGGAAGGTTTTGTAATGCGAGCAAAAAAGGAGATCAGACCAGGAAAATATGATTTACACGAACCTAATACCTGATTGACATGCACAAGGCCTTAGAAAACATACGATTGCAAGTGGATGCAAAGAAAAAAAGTGAGAATAACAGGTTTCCCAACAACAGGTAGGCTAAGTCGTTTAAATATGCTATTTAGGCTAATCTAGCCTAAATAGGCTATAAAGAAAAACGTTTTCACATGTTTGGGCTGTCTCAGCGCTAGCTGCCGTCTCCAGGGCAATGGAATATAAGACCAGAGCTATGAAATTAATTTTGTTAACACTAACTCTTCACGGTCAAGCTGTAGATAGGGCCCTTTAATTATTGCATGGTGTCGGACAGGGACCTCCCAGTTATCACCATGAGAGAGGGAGCGATATTTCAAAACCCCTGACACAAAAGCTTGCAAAAGTAGTGACATACATGGGGAGAAGACATGCAACATAAGGCGCCCCGCGGTCCACTCACAGCTTCAGGACCGGATGAATATCAACACAGCACACACCCACTGTGCGAATTCAGACTGTTCCATACCATGACTACACACGATTTTATAACCGAGAAATAAGAAGTGCGATTCGAGAAGATTGTAATTGTTTAAAACGGTGTTTAAAAATAGGCATTTTGTATCTGCATCACTTATGGCGTTTGTACATTCTTGATGGCATGGTTAGGTGTTAATTAAATCAAAAACATTCTGCAACACAACGATAGAAATGGCCCACGATTGCAAAATACAATAACAACAACAGTAATCTAATTAATAATACGTCTAATAATAATAAATTAGCAAAACAAACTAGCCTAATGAAATAAAAAGATAAAATAAAAGAAATAAAAAAAATAAAAGAAGATAAAACAATAGTGCGTTATTAAAAAGAAAAAAAAAACAATAGTGCGTTTACTATTTAAAGTCAGTCAAGAAATGAGTGTGTGTGTGTGTGTGTGTGTGTATATATATATATATATATATATATATTATATATAGGCCTATATGACATACCAGAATTAATAGGATAATGCCAAATGTCTCACTTAAATAATTTATAACCAGTTATGATTGGCATGTAAATTATGTAGGCTAAATAAACGTAAAATTAAAATGAGTTAACCAGCATCCATCTGCGTTAAATGGACATGGGCCTACTGTATATACGACAGGTGATTAAATAATTATGTCGTCCTCGAGTGATCGAATAATCTAAGACTAAATTAAATGATTAAATGAAATCGCATTATTTTGATTGCCATTGCGTTGCAAAGTATCACAGATCACAGAAAAAAAAAATCCAGTGCAGAATACACTGAAATTAAAATTCAAACCAGACTACCACTCACTAAATCACAGGACTGACTGATCTCAGTTTAGAACTAGACAATGCAGGAACTAAATTCGTTATGGCTATAACTTGCATTAATGCCTAATAAATATAAAGATAATTCTTCGACAATACCACAGTGCACTTGGCGTCACAATTGTAAAAACCAACAGAATTTTAAGATGATGACAAGTTCAACAAAATCATACCGTCAACGCCACCATTCAGCTCAACTTTACGAACGGGCATATTGTGTGCTAGTGCGTAAAAACGAAAGATTTGTCACTTTCTTTGCTTGATCACAGTTGAATAAAAACAAGTCAAGCAGAAGCAATGAACCTGCGTGCCTGACACCAATAATATCTTTCAAATAATCCATGCCCTTACTGTTGGTAGTCGTGTTTGCAGTAAAGTTTCCTCTCCCGGAAGTAGCAGCTGGTGGTGAGCGGTTGTTGACACACGGCGCATTGCAAACACTCCTCGTGCCATGAAGATTCGTTGACGCGCATCAGAAAGCGGTCGGATATCGGCCGCTGGCACCCCTCACACACCGCCTGGTGATGGCACTCCGTCCCTGGAGAGCAAATGCATCATTTTAATAACACTCTGACTTCATCTGAATTAAAAAAATAAATAAAGATACATAAATAGGCTATTGAACATGTGGTTATGATATCATTTTGTAATATTAGGCTTCATTAAATAAACCAATATGACACGGTGAAGAAACACACAAAATGGCGTGTGAATAATAACTGACAATTTACGAACATACAGATAGGATTTATTATGAATATGAATATTATTATTTTTATTAGGCTATACTTTTAGATTTTAAATAACGCTCAAACTATCAGCCAAAACTAGACTAAATCTCAAAAAAGTTTGTATAAATGTGATACTAAAATAATTGCCAATATAGCCTAATATATTTGTACTTTTTATTTATTTGCCATACAAAACATTTGAAATCAAAATGATCAGACATTGAAAATGAAATAAAAAGATTATGGAATTGTGTAGGTTTTTTGTTGTTGCTTGTTTGTTTTTTTGTTTTGTTTTATTGTGCGTGCTTGTATATGTGTGTGTGTGTTTGTATTTTTTTGTATATTTATTAGTATTTAGACGTTAGACAGATACTATGAAGCCGCCATAATATTTGTGTAGGTGTGTGAATGAGAAATAAGTATAACGGTTTGTATCCAGAAAAGACAATACTGGAGCATCGAAATAAATACATTACGTTGTCCATGAAATGTAAGAAAAATTGTATACGTCAGTTGTGTATTGGGGTTATTTTCTTTTATAAACAGCCTTTTTTATCCGACAGGTATGCGGCCGGCCGGTAAAATGCGCTATGCCGGCTGCATAGCTCGACTGCCACAGATCCAGCTTTAGTTCTCGCGTACGTCTCGATAAAAACAGCATTATAAAATTCTCTAAAATTCTCTTTTTATTACAGGAATGAGTGTTCACAATAGTAGGCTATAATACGTTAGACAATTAATCATTTACCCAGCATAACTCCAAGCGTAGCCTGTCCCGACCGCAGCGGATGGTCTTCGATTTTTATACCGTCCAACATCTTTAAATATCCCCACTGCTACCAGCAAGGAAGCGCCGTCCTATTGACTCAGGACCTGTTGTAATATCCACAACAACACATTTGTCAGAGTTGTCCACGCTTCAAATCCCAAAACTATAGCACATAACATTACAGAAATCTCAATCTCACGGCTTTGTCGCTAAAATGGCCAGCTCAAGAAAACTTTTCATTGCAATTGCCACTTGCAAGATTAGTATTTGCTCTCGATCAAACCTTGACACAGAAGGACAACAAGACGTAACTATAAAACTTAAAACACGCACTAAATCACCTGTTAATTAATGTCCGACTCAATCTAGACGGTTTCTGCACGAAGCGCAAAGTTTGTATCCCAGCAGTGCTGTCACGAGCTGCAATGGAAGATCCTCCCACACCGTGCACAAGTCGTCTCGTCCCGCAGCAAGTTTTCAGGAAATTAGTAAAATCCACGAAAACATAAAGGAGATGTCTAAACGTTAACTCTTAAATTAGTGCGCCATTCGGCTCCCTGCAGCTTGAGAAAGCTCAAAACTGAGATAGGCTTGAGAGAAAGCACCCTCCCCTTTTGGTCGCGTCACTTTGCAAACTATTGACTGACATAGGGATGCTATTGGTGCGCCAGTGTTCGTGCACTCTGCCGAGTGGAACTAAATGCGTTCCGCCTCCAAAATCGCATTGCCTCCCAAACTAGAGGCGCACAAGGATGGTAAACAACGTTACGAAAATTGTGGTGAAACAAATGAGTCTAAAAACACAGTCTAATTCAGACAAAAGCTTAGCCTACAGAAAGAAAGAAAGAAAGAAAGAGAAAGAAAGAAAATGAGTTTACATATTCATACATTTATATAGGCTATATTAATGTTTTTGATCATTTCAAATATGAATTTTGCCTGAATGCATGACAGACTATAATGTTGCATTTTAAGCCATCAACATTTTTTTAAAACAAGTAATGCGTTTATAGACAGAACAGTGGCACGCATTTGACCACATTTTGGACAATATGCGATTTGCGTATTAATGAACAACTGCTTCTGTAAATTTAAGGACATTACAAAAAAGAAAAGCAAAAACGGCAAATGCGTTTTATCTGTCAACAAAACAACAGCAATGTATTATTAATGTTAATTTTATTCTTAATTATTATTATTAGTAATAGTAGTAGTAGTAGTGGTAGCAGAAGTACTTTTATTGTGTTAATGATACAGTGCGATTAAGATGAATACACGAGAAACATGTCGTGTGTATTAATCTGTGGCAGTGCTTGCAATTACGCGATGTTGTTTCTTTTGTAATTAATCACAACAACCTTCCATTTGTAACATGCCTATTGTCATGTAAAATGTTACTGTTATTGTTGTTGATGTAAATAGATGGCGAAGCGCATGTTACTCTTTGGTTTTATTCCGGCTGCTCCGAGGCCCTCTCCTCTCATGCAGAGGCTGCTGGCTTTGATATCAGGTAGCGGAGCATCACGCCTGGCCCGTCCGCATGCTTTGTGCTGTTGTGTCCATTATGAAGCCTCGAACCTTCTGACCCTCGTCTACGATGCACCTGGAGATCAGGGCTGATAACTACAGACAGCGGCTGACAGAGTCCGATGAAATAAAAAGCAAACCCTTGTGCAGTCCTATAGGATGGCAGAGATGGAGTAATAATAGCCTACTACCGATTACACAGAAAATATCAAATCGAGCTAATGAGTTAAATGTCCCAGATTTTATTTAGTGAGCTCTGTGGGTTTAGTAGGCTATACTTCCGCTTTGGTTAGATCTATTCTCATAAAAAAAAAAAAAAAACAATAAACCAATAAAAAGAGGACGCATCTGAACAAATGAAATGATGCAACAGATAAGCGATGAATCTTTTATAGGCCTACATTATTAAAATGTGTAGCTTCGTTGTAATTGTATTATTCTGTTACCTTGGCAATGTACTCAAGAGAGTACATTTTAGAGTAAATTCCAGTAAATCCATCCATTAGACATTTCGTCTAATTAAAAACAACGAAGAATCGCTTAGCTGTTTAAATGACAAATACATTTTGCACAGCATAATTTATAGCAGTATTGTAAAGGAAATATTTTTTGCTCACCGTTTTGATCATGAGGGAAGACAATAAATCAGCTGTATTTATGGCAGCTTAATGCTTCACAAATGTTTGAGACAGGCTAACAATAGCCATGACTACCAGTGATATATATTGAGAGCAATTGTTAGGATCCCATTGCTGGATGTTTGGGTTGAGAACCACAAATGGTTGCGCCTTTCATCTTCAGGTCTTTATTAATTGCATGTGTCCTCAGTTGTTGCTAATATTAACTACACTCAAGTCAAGTCGTCGTTCTTTCTCCTTATTTATTTGGAAAAGTCAATCTCAAAGTTTAAAACACCTAGAAATAAGAAAAGAGGATGTGCAATCGTCAGTTTTTAATATAACTAATACTTGCCTTCAGTGCCTCAAGTCATATACTCAAGCATGAGAGTTAACGCTCTTTTCTAAGCATCATATAGCTACACTGAGAGGGAGGAATGCACGCGCTTAACTCCTCGCTTTATACGGAATTAGTCATGCTCCCCTGTTACCGCCTCACTCCCGGGATTCCGTACTACCTCCGAGCCATTTAGGAGACTTCAAGCAGTCGCCAAGTGAGATACCTATGACGACCCTTCATTATCGAGTAACCCCCACCAGCCCAACACCTTCAAAAATAAATATCTTCAGCTGACACTCAGAAAACCATAGGCCACGGCGGCCAGTTCATTACGGTCCCCTAAACGGGTTATTCTCGGTCGAACTCAGCTGAAGATGTATTTTTAGTAGGCTACTTCCTCTGTTAGACTGCAGCAATGCCTCATGATGATCAGAAAGGCTACTGATTAAATAATCAATCGAATACAGGAGGTGAGTCAAAGGACGAACTGTAAATTTCGGTAACAATCATAAATTGTGGGCATAGTTTAAAAGTGGAGAAAAATATTATTATTATTATTATTATTATTATTATTATTATTAGCCTATTATTATTATCATTACTATTATTTACTGTAACAACAATATAGTTTTATTCATTAGTAGGGAGGTGAACCGTACACTAAAACGTAAAATAGACAATAATGCAAATATATAAAATGATAACAAATATAGGCTATATAGCCTAATTTTCATTGTTATTATTTTTTATTGATATTTATATTAGTATTTCATTGTTATATTAAATATGTGGGTTACTCAATAAATGGTTACAAAACTGTTAAAAACAGCTTTTAAACCTAGCCTATTTCTGAAAATATATTTCAAAGGTGGAAGATTTCATTGTTCGATATGGAGCGGGTCGCCTGTCATGGTTGCCTCCATATTGAGATCACATGACAATTTTTATTTAACATATATTAAGGAACATTCCCCGGTTTAAAATAAAATAATTTGCCATTTCTGAGGTGTCGAAGGAAATTCGCAAAATGTTTACTTTGGTGATGCTGCATCCTTGCAGATAGGTCCAATTCAGACTACCAAAGGGGAAAAAATAGCGAGTGCGTCTTTAATTAAAAAAAAAAATTGTGGCACTATTTCCTAATTTAATGTTAAAAAACCTCGTGACTCACCATCATTAGGGGACATCGATGGATCATTTACCTTGATTGAGATTCACTGAAAAAAATTATTCATTGAATTTACTAAATGTTTTTAAGGTAAAGTGGTTGCAATCAATTTATTTTAGCTACATTTAAATAAACAAATTTAGTTGACTAACTTTCAACATATATTTTTTTTATTAAATGTAGCTCAAATAAATTGTTTGCAACCACTTACCTTAATTTTTTTTTCAGTATTCACTGAACATCTTTAGTAGTGAAACTGGAGTCCGGGGGTCATGCTTGTGCCTAAACAAGATTTGTGCAAGGCTCCCCCTTGCGTTTCAATTATGATCTGCAAAGAAACGACTAGGCCTATAATGACAGACAGATTGCTTTAAGTAAATGTTGACAAAAATAATAATAGCTTATTATTTAAAAAGATAGACAATCGTGAAATGAATGAATATGTTTGATGCACAAATTCTCTTACATTCACTGGTTTAAATGAGTTATGTCTGTTGAAAAAGAAAAACAGCTCAAACTAGCTTGCAAACCACATAAGACCAGCAAACTAGCTTAGGCTTGGTTAAGACTTTTTTTCCCCCCCAGAAGGGATGTGCTATGAAGAAAGTAATTGCTACAGAGAAGAATGAACTGTGTCCAAGGCCGTCAGCAATATGCTGGTGGCATGAATTGTGTGTTTCAGGGACTTGGCCTTTTGTTTGGAACTCTGGTTTACGAAGTGTTTCATAAAGACGGATCTCATTGGACAAGCATGAAAGGCAATCAGGGCGAACGCCTTACATGTTTAGAGTCCCTTAAAAGTCGTTTGACTTCCGTCACTGGTGGCGCAAAGGCCCAAATGTTGTGCCCACAAAAGTTGAAAGGGTTTTATTGAACGCACGAGATGGGTTCTGAACTCTGCTCTCTGAAGAATTTTGACAACGAGGCCCAAAAGCAAGAAACACAAATAGATGTGATTTATGTAATGTTTCTCGAGAAAGTCTCTTTAATTGTTTTTTTTTTTTTTCAAACACCCCCTCCCTCTCTCTAAATGGTGCGCCTGAGCGGCAGGTGTGTGGCACGTGCGCCATAGTGAGTGAGAGAGAGGGTGAAAAGGCCAATCTAAACTCAATAAAGGGTTGCAAGCTTTGCTACACTGTTTTAGTTAAACATCTCGGATAATTCGACCACAAGGTAAGAACAACGCAACACGCATTAAGAGGACTTAAACTGTTTGTTTATAAAGAAACGAAAATAATGAAAAAATGGGGGAAAATGAAAAGAAAAAGAAAAGAAACATTACTATTGTAAATTCCAGACTATATGACTGAAAAGTGTACAACGGCAATGAAAAATATTTAAACCATTATTTAGATACTAATTTGTGGAGTTTTTTCTTAAAGCGCGTTTGCATGATAAATGTTCACAAGACAATTAATATAGCTTAAATATACCAAGATTTGATTCCTGTATTCGGTCGCAAAAATGTGTTTTTCCATACTTTATCAAGTTTGAGAAAAGAGGTGAAAATATAGCTCATAATGTAGGCTATCTACCCAAACAACCACTAACTAGCTAAATGACAGATTGAAAAAAATAAATAAATACAAATAAATAAATTGTACGCTCATCAAACGAAAATATACTATTTAAAGGAAGGGTGTTTTGTTTAGTTTCTATTTGAAAAAAATACATGAAAAATAAACAAAGTGATATAAAATTGCCAAATAATTTCGTTTCCTGAGGGGAGCATTCCCTTGAAGTGCAATGCGAGATATTAAATTATCAGCGAGTTCACATTTTTTAACATTGTTAAATTTGCCCAAACTTGATATAATCATTATTAATCAAAGAGCGCTTTACAATAAATTATATATGGTTATAATGCAAACTAAAATTAAAGCAGCGATAACAATATAATGCAATTTTGACATGAGCAACAGCAGGTATAATAATAATAATATAATAAT